AGCACATCCCRGCGGGAAGGACCAGGATTGCTTGGATTGTTTGTGCTTCTGTACRTACAGTGACTGTGCAGTGTAAAATGCACCAACAAGATTAAGTGCTGCTAGAGAGCAGACTTTCTGAGCCATTGATTTCCACTCAGACGTTTAAATCTTTCCTAAATCAAGTAAGCCACATGAAGCCCTGTAAAGCTGGATCCTGTTRTATCTGCATTGTCTCTCTACAAGCTTTGCCTGAGAAATGACAGGAACACGCGGTGTGGGAGACAGGCACAGCCCTATCAGTGCTGGATTAAACCCTTGAAACCAGAGCAGCTCCTGAGATGCTGAAAATTAAGCATATTCCCTAATCAAGGCTTTAATAAGTTAATTAAATTTCATAATTGTAATGATTTTTATAAAGGCGGTATCCTCATTTGTATTAATGCCAACTATGCATATGGGAAAATTAAAGAAGGTAAAGAWTTTGCAATCTAAATAATTAAGGAGTTAGTTAGGTTTTTAATAGAAAAAAAGTTTCAGTGGAAGCACTGTTCGAAGTTTACTCAGAAATGCTTTTAAGTCGTTCTTTGGTATATTAGTAGTTTCCCTCCCTTTTTTATTTTTGATATCATCCTAATGAAAAGAATAACATTTAACTTAGAATCATGTGAAAAGCCTTCTATTTAAGTTCCAATTGTTCCTATTATTAGAACTGACAGAGATAAAGTAACATCTGAAGTATATATGCAGTATACACAGAAAGAGTCTCTGAGATAAAAATTCTGTGATCCTTAAATACTTTCCAAATGTCTCTAAAGGGATTTAGCTTCAGTAAGGAAATTTAACAAAAAAGTAATTTCTGATTACACACATTTCTTTGCTATTTAGCAGGGTTTAAATTGAATCACTGACCTAAAATATTCTCATTTTGAAAATGACTTCTGAAAAAAATTCAAAGTTGTTGATGCTTTCAGTTTTGTTCTCTGAAGACAGCTGAAAGACATAAAAATGTATTTCACATTGTCTGCTTGTTCTAAATAATCCCTTTTAGTAGGATTAGTCACAGTATTAAATGAAGGAGCAATTAATTATATTCTTACGAAATGAAGAAGAGAAAAATCTTTGAAATGTTSTCCTTTCCTCCTCACCCCCTCCATGCAAAATCTAAATTACATAAGTGTCTTTTAGTTATGGAAAACCTTTCAATTTTCAGTAAGAAAAAAGCATCAGGAAAGAACASTGCATGTACAAAAGTCATTTGGATTGACTTTACTTTTACATTTAGATATTAAATAAATTTAAATGTGTTCCTACTTGTCCCTATCATCCATATCATGGTGCTGCTTCCTATGATCAGGATCATGTGAGTGCCCGTCATGAAAGGCAGTGAATATCTATTGTGAATTTAAGAGTTTTTTTCTTTTTCTAGCTCTTGCTATGAGAGTACAGAAGTGTTGCAAAGCAGCTAGAAAGCACTGAATGTTYTGTAGAAAAAAGAGGTGAGGATAACCTTATGGATGAAGGGATAGTGGGAAAAAAGCTTCTGAAAAGAACAGTATAACAACAAGGATATATCACCAGCTGTCTGCTAAATACAGTGAAAAAAAAAAAAACAACAATATTAAGAGAAACTGCAAGAGCTTGGGCAGAAAATGCAGTATTGGGAATCCRCAATTATCCCTGGGTTGCTTGTGCAAGTGATGCACAGGGGCTTGGTGCCTTTGGAAAGATTAATCAGGAAAAGGAAAACAGCCTTCTATCATGGACCATAATGTGTCCATAACCAAATCCCCTGATAGGAACAAAAATGCTTAAGAAACTATGCAGCATAAGAATTAAATATCAGAAATGAAGAGACTTAAAGAAAAATGAAAAAAAAAAGGCAGAAGGGTAAAAGGCAAAGTGGAAAGTGCTGCACAACTCAGTGCTGAATGTGGAGCGTAGGTGTGTGGCACCCGTTGAAAGGCTGCTGTTCAGCTGATTCCTGTATAATTTGTGCCTACAAACAAAATGAGYAGTGTGCTGGTAAAGTTTGCTTATGACATAGAGTTTTCCAGGATAAATGACTGCACAGAGTTTCAATGAAGGGTCTCATATGAAAATAATGACTGGGTGCAAAGTTGCAGGAAAAGACTTGTCAATAATTCAGAGTGGTACCCTCTATTCCTATGCAGGAAAGAGATATTGAGGTTATTATCAGAGTAATTTCAGTTCTCTGAAAGCGTTAACTTGGTGTTCAAACCTGAGCACAAAAAGTATTCAAATGTTAAGAAAAAATAAAGAAAAAAAAAAACAAGAAAATATCACTGTGGTACAAGATAAATAACTGGTGCAACTGTAGCTTGAATACTGCATGATGTAATAGGTTGGGGTTCTTCACCTGAGCAAAGAGGTTTATCATATAAAAGAGGTACATATATCATACCCCTGTGTAGAGGGACACAATAACATTTTGTAACCCACAGCTGACAGGAAACTAGTGAATAACAAGCAAGTCTCCATGGTTTCTTATGACAAGAGAAGATTTAAACAGAAGGAATCCTGTCTTTTTCCCCAAACATCTGGTGCTGGCTGCACATTTTCAGTCCCATACAGAAAGTTAGTTTCCTTTACTCTCATACTATTTTCATCACCTTCAAGTGAATATATGACATATATCTTGTGATTTAGGACAAAAGTAATTTCCATTTAAAGAACTGGCCATTGACAAATGCACTTCCAAGCCCATGGGCCCCTGTCTTGTGCTTGGAAGGTGTGAAATCACCTCCAATGGACAATTATCAGCGTATCAGCCCCAGTGCAGCGGGCGCTGCAGGAGAGGCTGGTTGGAGATGTTACGGCGGGGCCTGAGGTTTTCTGGCCAGTTCATCAGCATCAGGTCCAGAAGGGACAAACAGAGGAAATCCTGGGGTTTGAGAGAGTGGAGAAGCAGATTCGTCTTGCTGCTGGAGTGAAATCAGATCCTGAGTGAATATTCATACTTTGGTGCCAGCTAAAGTGGGCAGTTCCTTCCGTCTCTGATGTAGCACTTTACTGCTCAGTTTAAATGCAATTTCAACATATAAACAATTTAATGTAAAGAAGAGAATTAAATGATTTTGTTATAAATAGTCTGCTTTAGGTGAATGCAACTGTAGGAATCATGGTTCCTGGCAAGTTTAGCTTTGATTAAAAACAGTATTGTCCKATAATTCTCGTTCAATATAGATTGATGTTGCCTCAAGAAGTTCTCTTCCTTTCCTTGGGTTATGCATGAATGTAATAAATCACCCACAGCTTTTAAGATTATCACCCAAATTCATTGTGACAGCACTAAACTTTTGCTCAGAGTGAGATTTTTATTAATAAGCTGTAATTCCTTAAATGGTAGTTGATGTCTTTTGAATTAAAAAGACCATCATGTTTCAGTGCCAAGCTCTCAACTACTGCTGTAAGTCCTAAGCATTTTGGAATTGATTTCTGTTCATCTTAAATAAGTAAAACATACAGTCAGAGCAATGGTAAAAGGCTCTATTTCTTTAAAGCTTGTCTTTTGATCCTCACACTGCTGCAGAGGCACCAAATGCACTATTCATTGCAAGGACAGTGTTTTCTTATCTCAGCTGGATTTCATGCTGTTATACTTGTCATTTTAAAGTGTCTATTTTTCTGAAGCAAAATGGATCTAATGGTGAATGGTGGTCACTCCAGCAAACTGACATGTTGCCCGTACACAGCTTCATGTTTCATAGGAATAGCTGAAAAGGCTTGCCTTTTTTTCTTTTCCCCTAGAAGGGGCTTTTATTTTCCTATGTGAACCAACTCAATAGTGTAACATCTCAATAGTGTAACCAAAAACTGTTCTATTGCACACTGAGGTCCCATGAATAGCAATATCTGCAGGATATTGCACAGGCATTGCCACTGAAGAAAATATGAGAGTTGACCAAGTACAACTAGKTCTACTGCTTTTCAACACCTTCAATATTCATCCTTTCCAGCACTACCTCAGAACTCTTTATTGCTCAGGTAGCACCACTCATTAAGCAAAGCCAAAATACAGCTCAAGTATACAGCTCAAAGCCAAAATACTGCTCTGCACCAGGACCTGATCAACCTCTGTCTGCTCCGAACTGCTTCAGATCTGCTTCAGTCCCAGAGCAGGAGCCTGTCTGTAGAGCTCACATTAGGCAAGTTTCTTCCAGTCCTGAGACCAGTTACCCTCTTGAGGGCAAAGCTTTTGTTGAAAAAATACTGTATTGAAAATTGAGTGAAATCTAGACTTGATTCTGACTCATTCTGCTAGGTGAATTTTACCATCACAGTTATGAGGCATTGTCCAAGCCAGGCATGTTTGTATGGTGTTTCTGGTTATCAAGCAAGAACTGGATTATCTAGCCATTAATCTTCAGGAAAATTCTTGTAAATGGCAGTCCCAGACAACTGCTAATTGACTAAGTATCTTTCACCCTTATAATTAATGGTCTCAATGTATCCAAGAGCAACCGTGACTGGTCGTTTTTATTGSCCTATTATTTGATGTCTATCAATAAAGAAAGAGAAATGGAGAGGCAGCTTTAGCTATGTTCTTTCTTAATGAGTATCTTCAGCAGAATCACTAGCGCTGCTGTTGCAAGACAGCGAATGGACTTATTTCAGAAGTGCTTCCTTTAGACTACTGATGAGCCTGAAGTGAGCATTAAAAAGGGCCACGTTGCTTTGCCATTAACTGGGTGGTAACTTTTTRGTGAGCAAAGGAGACTGTTCTACTGTTCATTGATGATCTGGAAGATGTCACTTGTGTCAATGGGTTTCTAAATTCTATTGTGTTCTTAAAATAAGTTAGAATATTATGAGATAATGTATTAAGAGATAACACATATTAAAGAGTAACACGTAGCACAATAAAAGATAAATGGTCAGTTCTTGAGGTTCAAACCACTGGCTGCCAGTGGCGCAGAACTGGTTTTCATGCTCTGTATTCCTTAGTGCCTTGAGGCACTAAGAAGGGGTATTTATTCAGCTTGTGTGTTCTGTTGTAGTGATCCACCACTTCTCCACGGAGGAGAGGCGCACGCGGGCGATACGGGAGATGGCTCGCATCCTGAGAGTGGGAGGCCAGATAATGATCTACGTGTGGGCAATGGAGCAAAAACGGAGGAGGTTCGAGACACAAGACGTCTTTGTGCCGTGGGATCCCTCACCTCCCTGCTGCCCCTTGAGGGATCCGCGTTCACCTGGAGTACAAAAATCCATTCTTCACACGGACAAAAAGCTGGCTGTGCACCAGGGCTGCCCTAACTCAAATGACACTTCAGAGGGGTGCAGGAAAAGCAAAAGTTCTTCYTGTGGAGGGGGCAGGAAAGCTCTGTGCTCAGTGTTGGATAAACCACTGAGATGGTCTCTGTTCTCAAGATCACTTGACTCTGTGCTAGACGTGGGTAATCAGCGGCACCGAGAAGAGCTCGTTAGGTATCGCAATTACAGCGCTTATCTGAATGAGTTAAACAGAAAAAAGAGAACTGAAAGAAACAGGGAGTGCGGCTTYCTGGAACACGTTTCCAACTTTTTTCTATACTGCAAACAGAGTTTTGAAAATACAACAGCTTTGGAAGTAGCTGTTAAACCCGTGCTGCCCACGTCCCATGACACCAAGGTGGTCAAAAGCCACCGCTCAGACGTGGGCCAGGAGCCTCTGCAGCTCCCCAGGGCTGCAGCTGCCGCTCGCAGTCGCAGCACAGTGTGTTTACCTGACCTCATTTCACGTCAGAAAGGACTGGCTGTTAGACAACAACACAGAATAGATCCTCACCCAAAACAAGGGGCTTTCTGTGGATCCCTCAGCGAAACGGGTGCAGGCAGTGCCCCACAGGAAGCCCTTGACAAGAGCGCCGCAGGCACCCGGAGCGGGCGGCAGCCCAGGCCCAGCGGGGCCTGCYTGCGCTACTACCATGTTTTTAAAGAAGGGGAGCTGGTTGAGCTGATCCAGCGCCACATCCCTGAGCTGCACGTGATTGACTCATACTTTGACCATGCAAACTGGTGCGTGATTGCAGAGAAGACCGAAGCGTGGAACACCTAGGGGAGCTTTGCTGTTGGAAGGGAACACCGAGGGCTTTCTTCTTTTTGAAGCCTCGGCGCCTTTGGACATCTGTGCTGAAGGTTTCCACAGCCTCCAGTTTGTTCAGGGGCGAGGGGGAAGGGCTGAAGGTTTCCACAGCCTCCACTTTGTTCAGGGGTGAGGGGGAAGGGTGAGGAGGGCAGAGGTGTGAAACTCTCAGGCTCTGTGACTCTGTTGTCTTTGATTTTGTTCCTAAAATACATTTCTACTGAAATATTTTTTTCTAGAGGCATTATTTCATACTGAGCACATTTTAGCACATTGATCCCTTTTAATATATAGCTGCCAGCTGTGTTTTGTTGCTCAAAAGGTTGGAAGTGGATTGCTGGATTCCGCTAGCATTGGAAGTGGATTGCTGGCTTGTTTCTAATGTGTATATTAAAAGTTTTTATTGCTCATTTATAACTACACACTCATTCATATCAACTTTTTACTTTAGAATTTATTGTGTTTTGCCACCTGATATAATGTAACATGGGAAGTAATTGAAAGATGTATTTTTATTATTACAGTTCACTTTGTCAGCATTTATGAAACTTCTAGTCCTACTAGACAAGCAGCCTTAACAAAAAATAATATATATGACGTGTAATATATGTATATATGTGTAATATAGCAATATACTATATGTATATAGTTCTTGTAGCACAGACAGTAACTGGTGACACCATTAGTCCAGAGATCCCTCTCATTGCCCATTAAAAGTTGTAGCCTAAAAAGCAAATAGATATTTGCCTCCATATATGCCAGTATATGATCCCCAAAATATCAGTGATATATCAGTCAAATGAGCTTGATGTGTATATTCCAACAAAGTTCATCTTTCTCAACTTGGAGAACTTATACAGATTTAATAAATCCTTTAAAACTGTACAGTGAGTAACTATAGCGCAGGAAAGTCTTCCAATGACTGGTAGTCAACTCAGAAAAGATTTATTAGCATCAGTATGCAATAATAATAATGCTTTTATCTATGGGTCTGCCTTTTGCAAAAATCAGCTTCACTGTGGAGGTTTTATAGGTACTGGGGCATGTTTACTGGGCTAAATAACTGTGCTTAAGGTCACCTAAAATGGAATAAAGGTTTAAAAGAAAAACAAGCAAACAGAATTCCCAAACAACATGATTATGTTTGTGTTAGGGATGTTTGTCCATAATTTAACTTCTTGCCTTTGTTTCTGTGGATTCATGAACCAGCAAGTCAGACATCAATCTTATGTTCTGAGAAATGTGCTCTTGCATATTCTTTATGTGTCTTTCAGTGAGAGACACCATGTTTTCTAAAGTAGTATGGAACCATACACTAATCAGAGTTTTTTAATGCAGCTTTAATTCGATTTGGATATAATCTCTGTAATCATATTTCCTTTACTTCTTCCCATGGAATTCACATCGGCTGTATCACATCTTCTTAACGTTTTCAGGGGGAAAAGCTGGAGGAGCTAATCGGTCTCTTCCATCTGTAATGACTATCTCTGCAGGATTCCTTTTTTTCCCTTTAAATGTTAGTATCCTTGTGCAAGTGAGAAAAAAAATAATTTTCAGCCATCAAATGTTGCTGCCATTCTGATCTGAACACACAATTCCCTTTATTTTATTCATTATTACCATTGTCAGAAGGGCCTGATAGAGGTGCCTGTTTTTTAATGCAACTTCAGGTCATCGTGAACAACAGTAGCAGCACATTGCAGGAGCTGCCGCATCGTGTGTTTTCCTAGTGCTCAACAGGTCATTAACCCCCAGGAACATATTGGAAACATATATTTGATTGCAGCCAGCCATTGCCCTCAAGCACATCCCATGTTAAGTTTTCCTGGAAACTCTCACAGATATTTCAACTGAAGGTGACTGTTGTTCTTTAAAACTTTTCCTTGCTCTAGCACTAACTGAGCCAATGCTGCTCATTATTGYCAGTGCTTCCCAGTGTGGTAAGTCACTGATGGACTTCTGCTAATGCTAATCCTAGTCCTCTTGCTCTACGGGTTTTGCTAAACAAGATCCACATCACAGAGAGAGTGTAGAACCTAACTGGGAGGAATCTTAATTTTGGGGCTCATCCACCACTGCGAAGCTACAGTCATTTGAGACCTCACCTCTCCAAGGGACACTTTAGTGTCTCCAATATCTGATTTGCCGGTAATAGTCACAGTTTGAAGTACTAAAATTAATAAAATCAATGTCCTTCTCTCTTTCTCATTTTCAGGTGTCAGAGAGATTCCTCCACAGAGGTGATGGGGGATCACTTTGCTTGTCCTAATCCCTTTCGAGGACACCTTAGGAATGGTCCGTGGCCACCAAGGGCCCACGAGCGCCATGTCGCGCACGCTGCCACGTTAAACACCGTCTCATTGCAGCTCATGGACACGACGTGACGTTGACCAGGACCGCGCACATCGGCGGAGCTCAGACCCTACGAGCGAGCACATCAGTGCTTAACTTCCTTAAGCGCAAACAGGTTTGATGAGTATGAGGCTATCATAAAAGAGTTTTGCCCACTGAGTAAACCTCTTTCTTTTTCTAATTGTCTGCTAATTGGCAAAGAAGCTAATCCCACTTATTATCAAAATTCCTTCTCCAGAGAAAACTCAGCTGAGAGTTTCTTAACAGCTTTTTCCTCATCCCTTTTAATTTTAAAAATCATTCCAATACCATTTGGTAGCTATCAGCTAAGGATGTGCTCTATTTGAGTTAATCACTTCCTTCAAGGTTATCTGTGATCGCTTTGAAAGTGCCTTAGCCAGCATCTTGCTTTCTGTCTTAATTAGCTATTACTGGCCTAAAATTGTCACTTACCATAGGCATTTGTACTGACCTCTCAAATTAATATCACCCTAGAAATTAAAAGTGGAAGAAACCYATTGGGTCCCTTATTCTATCCTCTTAAGTGTATTATTCATGGTGTGTGGCAGAGAATGCGAATGGAGGATATGATTAAGAGCACAGCAGTTAACTTGTCTTTGAAATGTAAATACAATTAATACCTGCCTTCCCCCAGGATCTCTTCTTGTCTGCTTCTTCCCTCTTCCTTCTCTTTGGTAGATAGAAAACATTTTGTTGAAGGATTCCAAGTGGCAAAAAGCACAGAAAATTTTTAATAGATTTCTCAAAAAGTTTGCTTTACTAACATATTTTTCAGTTCCCATTGTGACTAGGATTATGGTGTCACTTCCATAACTTGGCACATAAAATCATTCCACATGAACCTATTTTTGTAAGTTTAAATAAAGAGCTCCAGCTTACTTACAGAGTATTTTCATTTAAATCCATGTGGGTAACAGTTAGCTACAGTGAGACTGTGTCCACTCACTGGCTGTCACAGACCTCCAAATTAACAGCACTGCATTTAATTCAGTGACATATATAGTCCAGGAAACAAAATATTTTGGGGGAAATGCAGCCATTTCAACTAAGTCTGCCAAGAGAGACTGCGAACAGTAGAGAATCATCTCTCAGCCCTGTATTGCCTACACCCAAACTTTCCTATTTTGCTTTATAAATGCACATAGTGCCATAAAAGAAGGTCTAAAATACCTAGAAGGTCTAAAATACCTAGAAAGGTATTTTTGAAGGTAAGCCATGACAGTGTTGGCATGTATGAATGCAAAAGGGAAGGCAGGAGGTGGGCAGAGAAGTGAAGCTGTGGCACAAGTCGGACGGGCAGAAAAAGAGGCATGGGGAAGCCTGAGCACGGGAAGTTTGAGGACAGGTTGAGTGATAACAGCCAAGGAATGTGGGTTGTACCTATGGGGAGGGAGGAGGGAGCTCCGAGACCCTAGGGGATGGGAAGAGAGCCGCTCTTGGGAAGTGTTGTAGGTGCCAGTGCAGGAGGACCCGGGCGCTGCTGTCTGTAACACGGGAAGCTGCGATGGACACAGGAGCCGGGAGAGCCAGAAGCGGATCCGCAGAAGCGGATCTGTGCCCTTCTGCTTCAGAGCAGTGAAGCAGGCGCAGGAGAAGGGGCCGCCTTCCTCCTACCACCCCCAGAAGCCCATTTCCACGCATCAGGGCTGGCACTCACTGCCGAGCGCGGCCTGCCCCGGCTCGCCATCTCTGAGGCACAGCCGTGAGGCCGCGCTAGGCCGCTGGCCCCCATCTTCAGAAATCATAGGGAGCTTGACCTTCTACTGCTCCCTCGTGAGAGTCCTATGTTCCCCTTCACGTTTAGAAACAAAAACAAACAAACAAAAAGCCTTAGTTTCCTCAGAATACAGCCCCTGTAGGGGTGTTTGAGCAAATCTCGCAGTTTCAAAGGAGCAGCAGTGTGGGGCAGGCAGGAATGCCACCAAACAGATCAGCCACAAAATAGGAATTATTTTCTTCATGGAGGAGGCCGAGTTTGACACCTGTTCTTAGCCTTTAATTTTCTCTGCTGAATGTATAACTAGGAAATAGCAAAGCAAACCTATTAGCTAGGAACAAAACAAACACCCTTGTTTTGCATCTGGTTAGACCAAGCAAGTCAGATCTCTCACTTCTTGGCCAGGTGTCCCAGACTCAACCTGTCTGGCAGGGAGGAGCTGCCCTCCACCTTCCAGGTAAAGACAAAGACGAGCCCTGTCTCGCAGAGATTAGCAAATCCCAACCTAGTCAGAGGGGTCCCAGGCAGTGACACATGTCCCTCACAGCTGTCCTTCATGGCCTTCATGTCTTGGSGGAGTGTTTCTTGTTTGGCATGAGGGAAGTCCTCTCCAAGGTGCCTCCTCTTCATGTCCTCCGGCCATTCTGTGAGTGACCTGGCTCCTGCTGTTCCCATCTGCCTCCCTTTGGGAAAAGGAAATTCAAGTATTTCACCTCGTCTTGCAAATCAGGGGSAAGGGGACCTAAGGGGAGCTTTGTGCTCGAGAATGGATCTAAGAACTTAGACTCCAGTAATTCTGACATGAAACTAGACTGAGGCCTGTGCAGAGAAGAGTGAGATGGGCCCCAAGCTCCTCTTTGACCTTCCGTGAGAAGGTGAGAAAGGGTTAAGAGAAACTGCAGGACCTCCATGGGRGTAAGAAAATGTAATTTTGATTAAGAGCTGAAGGATAATCCACTTAAAGGATTATGAGGGACACAGTCTTTTTGGAGTACTTTATTGCATCAAAGGCAGAGGTTTCTCTTCACACAGCAAAATAGACGTTTCTGAGCTGCAGCTGCACTTCCCTGGCTGAGCCACCCACATATCTTGCAAGAGGACCAAGAGTGATTTTAACTGATAGTTGAGCACAGCGAGAGGAGGCTGCCCACGCTGTGGTGCTGTGGGAAGCTGAGGATGGCAGCACTAGCTGGTGCCAGGGATTTTAGGCAGTACCAAAAAGCATCTGGCTCCTCTGACACGGGCGGCACCGAACAGAGACCTATGCTGTGACCCAGGACAGTGCTAAGATATGCAGCGAGCAGCCCTCAGGACATAAGGGGTATGGGTGCCCCAGCACCTCTGCTGAGAGAAACACAGGGTTCAGGGGCATCGATTTGACCTGGACAATGAAAAGGGTAGTCAGACACTGCAGGTTCTTCTGYTTTTACTTCATCTTATCTCACGCTTAAGAGACACTAAATCCACCCTCGCACTACCAAACGCTCAAGTAACTGGGCTGTTATTTACTCAAGGCTCCTGTAACAGTGTGCAGCCTCCAGAACACTACACAAATGCAGAAAAAAAATTTAAGCAATTAAAGGTATCAATTTTCATGAGAGAGAAGAAAACAAATAAAGGAGAGCAAACAAATAGAAAATCCCCACTCTGTGACTACTGAAGGTTTGCGAACTGCTTATTTAATCCTGGTCATTTGTGATTACAAATAATGATGTTGTGATTAAATAACTAATTCTTGACATGCAACACGTAATATACTAATGATTATCCTGTAGGCCACATTCAATGCTAAAGGTTAGTTTATTTTCCATTTTAATATACTTACATCCCTTCTCTGCAGAGACATAGGCAGCCTTTGAAGAACTTTAAGCACATTTCCTTGTCATCTTAAGACAACTTTTACCTAGCAGACTCCACTTYGGGGTTTCTGTTACGGGTCACCGATTGAAATCCACTGCAGTAAATTCAAGCAGCACTAATTGTTAGTGCAGGAGGAAAATACCTAAGCAAGGATTAAAGATTGCTCAGGCATACCAGAGCTCCTTCCAACAAGACAAATTACTCCTATTCTTTTATATCAATGAACTGTAATAATGTTGAATTTCCTGCACTAGAAGGAAAATTTGTGGTAATGAACTCTTATCTACCATACCTTCTATCCTATAATAATCAGGATGCCTTTTTGGGGGAGAGAGGGACATTTCTCATGTCACCCTTGCTCCCATGCACTTATTTAATAAAATACTTTTAAACCTCTCATTCATATATATTATGATCAATGCTCAGGGTAGTTATGTTTACCTCAGATACCTGAAGAGACTGATTTTAAATATATTTAATATTTCTCACAGGAGTTAACATAGGCTTCAGAAACAGGGATTAAAGAGATCTGAATTCATCGTTCCCCCTTTGTACAGCTGATTTTTGCTGAACAGGAGAAGACTTAAATAGAAAGTTGCTATTTTTAGCTTTATGATCTTTTTTTAATCAGTTTTACCCTTAGCTTTCAGTGCTGGCACAGAACTGCCTCTTCCGCAACCTGTTAAGACTTGCTCAGCACTCAAGTCCCACCTGGGTAGGAGCAGTTTGAAGTTTTCGTTTTGATCTAGCGGGAGGTGACGCTGGATAAAAGCGAGGGTAATCCTCTCAGCGTGCTGTTCAGAAGCAACACCACGCAGGCCTCTGGAGAGGAAATCAGCTGAGCRGCAGAGCACCTGGAAGCTGCCTCTGTGCTGTTTTGCTCTGCGCCTCTGCTTGGCCGTGCTGAGGCACGGCTGGCYCAGAGGGAAAGCGGCATCCAGCAAGGGCAGCCTCCACGGAGGTGCTCCCCCGAGCTACAACACTTAATGGTCATGACATATGCCAAGGAAGGCCAAACTCCCCTTACGAATTACCAAAGGGGTGGGAAAGTGTGTGCAGACACTTTGGAGACACCGATCCCCAGGCACGCTATGTTCCACACTGAGGAAAGATGAAGAGGCAGGAGCTGGTTAATATCATTAACAGAAGGAAATTATGGTTTCTAGAACAGTGATAGTCATTTGAATTATGATTGATGCTGAACGCTACCCTTGATTGATCTTGATTCACCTGAGGAAAAGCACAATAAAAATAAAAGTTCAAAAAGAGGCAGCAACAACAGCCCCCACTGAGAGATTAACATTGGGTGTTTAGTCATAGAATCATAGAATGCTTAAGGTTGGAAGGGACCTCCACAGGTCATATCATCCAATCATCCTGCACACACAGGGCTACCCAGAGCACGTGGCACAAGGCTGTATCCAAGCGGGTTTTAAAGATCTCCAGAGAAGGAGACTCCATAGCCTCTCTGGGCAGCCTGTTCCAGGGCTCTGTCACCCTCACTGTTAAGAAATTTTTTCCTAAGTTCCTGTGGAACTTCTGGTGCCTCACTTTGTGGACGTTTCCTCTAGTTCTGGCAGTGGCCACCGTTGATAAGAGGTCGGCCCTCTCCTCCTCACTGCCTCCCTTGAGGTATTTATAGACACTGATCAGGTCCCCCCTCAGCCTCCTCTTCTCCAGGCTGAACAGGCCCAGCTCCCTCAGCCTTTGCTCATAGGGCAGATGTTCCAGGCCCGTGATCATCCTGGTAGCCCTGCGCTGGACTCTCTCCAGCAGCTCCACATCCCTCTTGTACTGGGGAGCCCAGAACTGGACGCAGTACTCCAGATGTGGCCTCACCAGGGCTGAGYAGAGGGGGATGATCACBTCCCTCGACCTGCTGGAGACGCTYTTCTTAATGCACCCCAGGATCCCGTTGGCCTTCTTGGCCACCAGGGCACACTGCTGCCTCATGGTCATCTTGTCATCCACCATGACGCCGAGGTCCCTCTCTGCGGGACTGCTCTCCAGGTCAGTCCAGAGCCTGTACTGGTATCCGGGGCTATTCCTTCCCAAGTACAGGACCCTGCACTTGCCCTTGTTGAACTTCATGAGGTTTCTTGCAGCCCAGTTGCCCAGTCTCCTAGTCAAGTGTCCAATGTCCTAGTCTCCTAGAGAAAAGCAGCCAAGAGCTTTTGCAACAATAAATCCCCTTCAACTGACAAATTTACAGTCTTATCCCTGCCTCCCCACCCTGCACATCAATATTGTCCCTGCATATCTGAATTGCATTTCATAAATCACTACACCTATGCTCTAAATAAATTCTTGCTGAGAAAACTAATGCTTCACCATCTACTCTGTTGCTTCAGCTATGATAATGGTTCACAGAGCTTGGTGTGAAACCCAGCAAACTTTGGCAAAACTTTGAAACAAAATAGAGGATGGAGCGGAGAAAGATGCTATAATTCTTAGAGAACAGGCCAGAGACACAGGGAYGGTTCTTGTAAAGTTTTCCAGTAGTCCAGGCTGCCTTTCACACACGCTGCCCAGCGCTCATTCCAGGGACAGCCAGTTATAAGAAATAAGGGCCAAAGGCTTTTAGATGGTGTCACCTGCCATCATTATCACATTCCCTGCCTATTGTAATAGGTAAAAGGTGAAATATTTTGTTTGGCTTTTGAAAACAAGAGGAGAAATCCTGGAAGACCAGGCTCCTGAGACAGGAAGCCGTGGGTAATTATGCTCCCCTTCACCATTCTTGTGTTTATTGTAACAGGAAAAAAAAGAAGTATTCATTTCCACTATGTTGACTGTGCTAAGCTCATCTATTTCACAATTTCAGGCTCTAGTGATAAAATAAAGTTTTTTTTACTTTGTTCCCACCAAGATCACTGACAGTCAACAAGACAACTTTGATCTGACAAACTCCAAGTTCTGTGGGCTTGATGCATGCCTGGGGCRGGAAAGGAAGATGTGAGAGAAAGTCCATCTTCTGGACTCCTTCAGCTTCAAGGAAACTAGCTGAAATAAAGAAGATCAGGGAGAGGATATGAGAACGGCTTCCTAATTAGTCAGAGCATGAAGTAGGCCAGTGCTGTCTTTCTGTGAGAATGAATGTGAAGGCAAGCTGTGCATTAACAACCTGCAGATGGTAAGGTTTCAAGCAAAGGGAATGGCAGTAGCTCTTTGAGAAGGATCCATGCTGCCTTTTAAAAATTACAGAAGGATGACGAGAGTTATTACTAAGCAGTGAGATTCTTTCCATACCAATTACTGAAGACAAGCCCCTAGATTGCAAGCAAATACCATTATGTATAAACTAGCTGTGATTCAAAATCCCCAAATCCTCAGGCCCATTCCTGCTTGGAAATAAGGAGACTAAGGAACAGGATTCAGTTCRGGCAGAAGCTACATAAAAGTGTAAACCAGCACAGTGAGAGTGACAAATGGCATCAATTTGATCTTTTCTAGGGTAATATAGTACATAGGTACAATATGCAGAAGGCATCCAGCCTAAGTTGTTGTAGGGACTTCACTCCAATGGCTCTTTGAAGATTGACACTAGGTGTAGGTACATCCCACCTTTCTGAAAGCCCGTCTACATCAAAGCAAACAAACGTGTAATGCTGTTTCAGTGCTTCATTTTTGTTCCCACTCTTTTAGGACTTCCTCTGCCACTCTTACCAAGCACCCTTCACCTCTTAAAAATGAAGTGTTAAAGAGACTTTAAAAGTTTAAACACAGTAATCAAAAGTCAAAAGTCGTTATATGCAAAGCACTTTGAATATAGAGGCGAACATGAAAGAGTCAGCTGGCAAGTTGCCTTGCTTTGCATGCGTGTATTTATTCTAAGCAAACAAACAGAAAACTCCAAAGCCAACTGATTTATAAGTAATACAAAAGTATTACTCATCCACAATTGCAATGCAACTGCTCGCAAACAAGATTCAAAGAGTATTTGGTGTCAGAATCTGCAAAGATACAYTGTTACAAAAAATAAAAGCAAAACAAACAAAAAAACCCCACAGCGCACATATACAGAGCTTCACATAAACAGTGAGATGTATAAATTAGCAGTCAGAACATAAATGCTTACACTGCAGCTTACCACAACATGGTAAGAGCTATCTTTTGCTTACAGCCTTCCCCTTGAGCAATCACAAAGCACTCATGTTCTTTCTTAACGTCAGCTAAGAAGAAACACAGACTATGATCCTAGACATCTTCCGAAGCAACTTCTTGTCCTTCTGAAAGGCTAGACAGAAAGGCTACCATTTTCCTCAGTTCTGAAGATTAACTTGCTGCCTTTGAAAACAATCCATCTAGTTTCTAAGGCTGAGCAAACTTTTCACTGTGTTTTATACTAATAGCAAGATAAAATGTTTTGACTTTGAATGCGGCCCACATGCATCAATCACAGACAAGTAGGCCGTGTTGTTAGCAAAGTCATTAGCATCGTGACACAGCTGACTATATACAACAATGCTAGAACATCATGTCTTCTAGCCCATCCTCCATAAACTTCTTGTAAATTGCCATAAACTTTGCCACAAACGCTTCCAAATGATAAATGGCTTTGCTGCCCAGTTGCAGTCGGTGTTCGTAGAAGGCTGCCATCTGTGCAACTTCTCCTTTTAATTGTCCATCACAGTTATTTAAAAGCTCTGACAGGAGGCCCTAAAAAAAAAGAAAAACAGGACAATGTTGAAAAAAAAGTGCTCTTGATAAGAGGATAGCAGTTTTTTTTCCCTCAAAACAGCTAAGCAAAAATCATCAGCGTGAATTTCAGCTTGCTTGACAATCCAATACAAAAGTAGTGTAAGATTTGTCCCACTGCCATCCGACAGAACTAGATTTAGAGAACCTTGTCCCTTCTGAAGCTTTTCAGGATAAATTCCCCAGTTCAAAACAAAAGTTACCTGCTGTAATAACTTTCCTTAAGCTACAATATTCATGACAAGAATTCATTGTCATTCTTAAATGAGGGAAAATAAAGATCTATAATTGAATGACTTCTGCCATAATAAAGCAAACAAAGTTAATGACCAGGTGTTATAACCTCTATTGCACATAGGCAGGCACACGGCCCTGATAGACTTTGAACAAGGGAACTAGGTAGTAATGTTACGTGCTTGCCATTACAGCAACGCTGAGCACAAACAGACATAGCTTATTAATAAGCATCAAGGMAAGATGTTACTATATGAATATGTGCATATACATACAGACACACTAGATACTTTATAACAGCTCAGTCATTTCAAAAACAAACTTAAAAAAAAACAACCAAGAACTCGCTGCTTTAGATCCAAGATAGTGATAAAGTCATCAGGAATCTACTCCCACTGAATCAGTCAGGATTAAGGGAGAAGTAGCACTAAAACACCTCAAATTTATGAAGAGGAAGCGGGTAAAGAACATCCACCTTCACCTTGAAGACAAGCCTTCAGAAAGGGCAAGACTGAATACACAAATCCACTACTAGCAAAATAGCTTAAAGAAAAGTGTAACTAAAGAAATATTCACAAATTAGAAGTTAATGGAATAAGAAAATTATTATCTTGTAATTATGCATCATGGCAATCTCCACCCATAGAGACTGCAAACATTGGCTTTCAATCTTAGTTCTACTACAGTTTTCCTCAGCATCCTTTTACCATGCCTAAAATAAAACTGTCCAGTATGTTTACTTCTCCCAAGAAGATTTCTGTCCTTAAAAATCTTGCTGTCTAGCTTCTCCTTCATAGAATCTCTCCAATATGATAGGGTAAGTATCAAATATATAAGCAAAACATTTACTTTAAAAAAAGCTATGAAGACTCAAGCCTATAGCCTGAGACTCCTCAGGGGGACAAAGCCTGTCCTTCCTTGTTTTCAGCTCTGATGCTGATGTTGGACATCACAGAACAAACTGAAATTGTTAAAATCTGTAACTCATGAAAAGCCAAATAATAGAATAATAGCTGAATTACCTTCATTATGATCTCCGGAGGAATGCAGTGTGTTAGGAGTTCATAAAGCCGTCCACGAATCTCTAAAAGCCTATTGGAAAGTCAACACAAAAATCAGAAAAAATGTCCACAAAGCAAACTAATGTGTTTCTTATACTCATTTCCTATATTCATTTATGTGTGCAGTTCTGAACTCCCCAGTATAAGAGGGACATGGAGCTTCTAGAGAGGGACCAGTGGAGGAGCGACCAAGATGATTAAGGGAATGGAACATCTCTCGTACGAGGAGAGACTGAGTTGGGCCTGTTTTCCTTGGAGAAGGAAAGRCTRAGAGRGGATCTGATCAACATGTACCTGAAGGGGGAATGTAGGGAGGAAGGGGCCAAGCTCTCCTCACTGGTGGCCAGTGACAGGACAAGGGGCAGTGGGTCTAAGTTGAAACCCAGGCAGTTCCATCTCCGTGTGAGGAGGAACTTCTTCACTGTGAGGGTGCCAGAGCCCTGGCACAGGCTGCCCAGGGAGGCTGTGGAGTCTCCTTCTCTGGAGATCTTCCAAACCCGCCTGGCTGCCACCCTGTGCCCCGTGCTCTGGATGTCCCTGCTGGAGCAGGGGGCTGGATTGGGTGATCTCTAGAGGTGCCTTCCAACCTCAGCCATTCTGTGATGTAGTATGAGGAGGAGGGGGTRGGAAGAGTCAAACCAAACTAATTTTTTTTGAATAAACCAAAAAGCAGCACTCAAGTCTATTTCCATTCACATTCTACATATCTTACCCTTTTGAATAATGCTACAGTTATCAAGGTTTCAGTTAATGTAGAAGCTACAGAGCTATTCTCCAGGTTGCCTCTCTAGTTTCTGTTCACCTCTAAATTTTTACTATTCATRCCTAAAAACTGTGAGAAGTTAGCACAAAAATGATTATAGTGAAGAAACTCACTTRAGTTGCTTTTCTAGCCTCTTTTTTACAAGTAGAGGAAAGATGAGTACGTGACAGAAAAATTATGCAATTGTCAATTCTCAACTTTTGATATAATGAGGCCAGATATCAGACGCTAACAGATAATAACTGGTATCAGGGACTACAAACTTTTAAAGTAAATACAGCAAATGACTCTTCAGACAATACAAGAAGCAGGATGAAATGAACTAGAGAGGGTATCTCCCAATGTGGTAGGGAAAAAAAAAGCACATCTTGCTAAGCAAAACAGAACCAAAGAAATCACACAATGACAAAACCTGCAATATGTTCTACATTAATGGCAGAGAAGCTGACAGTTCATTATTAGAGCAAATCAGACCAGAAGGCATTCAGATTAAAGCACAGAATTGAAGACAAAACTGTTGGAAGAGACTTATAAGAAACATCTACTTATGTTTAAGGCCCTCCATTGAGACTTTTGTCTAATTTCAACTTTCCTGCAACGCAAGCTTATTTTTTCTAGGCCTTCCCACCACGGATATGAAAAAAGTTATTACATTTCCTGTCCAAGTCTTTCTATTCTTCTCATTCTGTTGTCTTTAGGCTAAATCTCATTCTTTCCATATGGGTCACGTTCTCTACAACTGATTCTTGGCAGCTGCCTCCAGATTCTTAGTTTGCCTGAAAGGTCTCAATGCAAAGCTCAAAATAGGATAGAGCATTCCAGAAGAAGCCTTACTAAGGCTGCATAAACAGCACAGACTAATTCCACTGTCATACAGCCTGAATTTCTAATCTTGTACAGAAGACAACTTTAGTGGATTACAGATTCATAAAACTGACTCATGTTCATTTGTATTCARTCAAAAACTCTAGTTTACTTTGTCAAATTCCTAATAATTTGTTCTTCAACATGCATTCAATTCTTTGCATCTAAGTGGAACATCTATTTTTTTTTAAAAAGTTTTCTCCAATTTTAAGAAGTTTGCAAATGCTGGCCCTCTTCCAACCTAACTGAAATCCTACCTAATTTTGCATCAAATAACTTATAATAAAGAATATTCTCTAATCCATTACCAAAATCATTAATGAAAATAATCAGGTTGAGTTGKCTCAAGTCAAAGCCATGAGGCGCCCCAGATGCATTTCTCTACAATGACAACACATTACTATGAATACTTTCCAAAATGGCTTCAAACGTCACTTTTTAACCCAATCCTCAAAAGCAGTTYCACATAAATCAAATCTCCTTCAGTTGCTTATAAAAAAACACTGTGGAAAACAGTATTAAATATTTAAATACATGTATCTTGGCACAGTAGTTTGGACTTGAGGACATACTTTTCTGTGACATAAGGTCATTATTGTATCAAGCTCATCCAGGCATTTCTGGTAGCTTTAAGACTCAGTTCCTTTGCCTGCAAAGTACCAGCTCTAGCACAAATGCCAGAAAATTACAAATAACGAATGATATCACATTTTAAAATACAGTATTTCTAGAGCTCAAAAGTACTAAATGTAGCTTACAGAAAAAGCCAGGTATATCCACCTACCTCTGCGGTGTCTGTTGACTGACAATAGCATTTGCAGTTTCTCTCAAATACACTTCCCAGTCCATCTCAGGAATATCTTGATCAGGAGTGAAAGGATATCTACATTAAAAAGAAAAAGGAGAAAAAAAAAGAAAAACACCCACAGTTTTCTCACCTCTTCTAGCAGTGGCTCAGAAGCACACTCATTTATGTCGCCGAGAGCCTGACCCGTATTAATTTTTAGTGATGACTTACTGCTGTACTCTGCAGGACTCGCACATAAGCAGTGCTTTCCGAAGGTTCCTGCCAGATTTCTCTGCAAGCCTCTGAGCCAGTTCCTGAGGCAGAGTCAGGCCTTCCTTCTTGCACACACTGGACAGTACGTGGCAGATCTAGACGGGAAACAGATAACCAACATTCATCAGACCATTTAGTACCATTTAGATTTTTCCAGTTTAAATCATTCCTGGATCAGAGATGGATGAGCGGCTCATAAGAAGCATTTGACAAGTCAGCCAGGCCAAAGGAAAAAGAGATGACTTCCTCGAGTGAAGTAATTCCTAAGTTCACAGCAGGAAGGTCTTTTAAAGGCCTTTGTTTCTTTCTCAACATACATCTTCTATGCTGGGAGCAGGCACTCGGATGGCCAGGCATCTGCTTTGAATGGGTGCAATGATTTTTGACATGGAGTTGCAGCACAGGATCAGCCTGCAGGTGGCCATGTACTTTTCCATCGTTCTTCGCAAAGCATGCTGAGCATCTTTAGTAAGCTTGTCAACTTCTGTTAACAGCACCACTGAAAAACAGTTTTAAAAAAGCACATTTTAAAATAAAAAAAAATCTCTCTAATAAAATGCATATTTTGATGTATAAGAATACTAAAATGATTGATACRTTAAGCAAGAGGCAGCATAATCCCACCGACAGGAAAACAGAGTAACATTAAGGTGACCCTCATTCTGCAATTCCATGCATTGCAGTGCTGATTAGGAACCCTTTGGAGGAACAAATCAGTCTGCTGCTCATCCCTCATTTTCCCTCTGGTTCTATCAGCTGCCGGAAGAAGCTAGCCAACTTAAGACACTTAAAGGTGCATGGCATGACTGCAGCTGCAGGGGTGTGTGTGTGTGTGTGTATATACGTGTATATACACATATACACATATATACACATATACACATACAATGCACGCATGTATGTGTTATAAATAAAATACTTCTCAACTTTTTGCTGAAAGTCACTATCCCTAAATCCCTGCAACAGGCAACTAACACCTGCTTACACAGAACCATTCACCATAGGCTATCTTGCCCCTCAAATCRATATTAAAACACAATATCTCATAAATAAAATACTCCTGTAGCTCAGTAAACGAAGTTATAATGCATTTCAGGGGGTGGGGTTGCAATGAGAGATCAGGAATCTAAGCTCCCCATTCCCAGACATAATCATTCAACTACAGCCAGTTTTCCTAAGAAAACAGTCCCAGACTTGTATCAATACTTAGTCACTCCAAATACTTCCAGAGCAACTGCAGACCACTCCAAGGAGTGTGTGAAGTTTAGCTTGCGAAAGGTTTGTAGGTACCCACAAGTATGACATTTATACAAACAACAAGAAACATCTGGAATCACTAAAATACACCAGTATTTTTCTTTTGGGGTATTTTGACTGATTTTAACTGGTTTTACTCACCTTTAAAATCTCTTTGGGTACTTGTCTCAAGCTGTTGGGATTGTGCTACTGTCTTCAAGAGCTCCTGGATTACTACACGGTCATTGTTTCCTGCATCACTGTATGAGTTCAAATAAAACTTGTTTTAAAGCAACTTCACATTGTATACAAAGTTCATCCTCCTAACCATTTCTTAATCAGTTTACTTTTATACTATCAAAAGTAACAGCAAGACCCTCTAAGCCCTAAGACTACTATGTAGGCACAGAAGGACTAACAGCCATGTGTGGGGAAGCAATGAAACCACCACAGTAAACTGCTTTATTAACTCTTTAAATAGATATCTGTTTTTTCTGGTATGAGAAGCCAGATGATTCAAAATGTGTTACTTGCAATTTTGACAAAGATTCTTACCTAGAATTTTTTGCCACAGACTTGATGAATCCTGCTAGAATGTAATCAAACAGTAGGATATCCAACTCATTGAAAAAGGATAGATAAAAATGCAGAGAGTTTCTCACTCCCCTCCTCGCCACACCTTAATCTAAGTGCCTTACTATGAATCACCTGCAGGCTTAATGTAAACTTGAATGGCAGACAAAGTTGGTAAATGTTAATAGTACAAGACTAATGCCAAGATGTTATTAAAACACATGCGAGTGGTTTGTTTCTTCTAGAAGGCTGAAAATCATTGAATAATACCAGATCTTATTCCTTCCTCTACTCTTTACAGTCCCTTATAGTATCACTGCAGAGCTCCTCAGTCCTCAGGCTAACAGCTAAACTATCRTGACTCAGATTTGACAACCAAGGAGAGTAAATTGCAAGACAGATTATTGAAGCAGAGAAGGAGAAGAAAAGACATCCCTATCCCTTATTCTCCCCAGACTACAGCCTTCCAAGGCAGCGGCAGCTCTGCAACATTTATCTGACAAGCAAATGAAAAGGCATTGGGCTGTGCTGCTCAAGTCACCCCCTGAGCAGACCTTCCCTGTTGCTGACAAGGAGGCAGAACAGACAGAAGCATCATTTTAGTTCAGCAGTCCACACAACCTGATGTACAGACTGCACTGTGATCAACTAGGTASTGCAACTTAAGAGATCATTCAGTGCTGGTTCTGCTTCTGATTTAGGACAGCTTTTGGAAACAGTTTCTAACATTTAGACATTTATCTTTCTTTACAGAAACAGAGAACCTAGGGTTTAATTTCTCAATACAACAAATATAAAATTATCACACAAATGTTGTTGTTTCTTACTCCTTTGCTAATCATTTATTCAAGAGAATCCATTTTAAAGTGCCTATCCAGACAYGACAAGCCATCAGCAGGTAAAGTCCCAGAATTCAGAGGAACAGTTTGGAGGAAATAGATCAGTTTTATCTAATAAGAGTTTCATAATAAATTTAATGTCTGCTGCGTCCTACCCCTTCCCAGAAGTTAATTTCCTTTCCCTGTCAGCTATTTACCATGCTCCATGTTACTCAAGATSCACTGTGTGATTTCACAGTACTCTTAATTCAATCAGAATTTGCAGACCACATTGATAAACATTACACAGACATACTGTAATAGCACAGACAAGTTCACTGTCTGGTCAGACACACATGAAAACTGGTGGATCACTTAAAGCCTGTGAATCAACATCCTTAATCCTTAGAATCCTTAGAATCCTTAATCAGAACTCAGCACGATATTTTTTACAGTAAAGCATCAATTTATGCTTTTAGGGTTTTTTTTTTTATTTGAAGATATAATTATTTTTATGTCTTCCAAGCTACGAGTACTCTCTAGARAATATTAGAAGACAAGCTCATGAGAGTAGAAAAATGAATTGTCAGATACTGTATATACAACCAAAACCGCATATTTAAAGGACACAAAAAAGGACAGTCCTCAGCTTTACTTGTTTAGGGCCATATTAGAATACCAGCAGATAAGCACTAATCAGTATAGACATGAACTTTTTGAAGACCACATGGTATATGAGAACAGCAGCTAAAATGCATAGAGTAACACGAGGAAAAAAAGTGTTAACAATAAGCACAAAGCTCAAAGTTACTTTGGGATATAATAGATTACTGTCTTGTAAATGCAATTCAGGACAACAAAGTCAACATAATCAAAGCCTGCCACTGCAGAATGGCAGGCACTCTCCTGTGATTTAAATTAATGTTAAAGGGTTTCAGGTAAATACGTTATATATAATTTGGGTCAAAGAACTATCACCACCAATTTCACAAATGTCAGGCTATGACAGGGCATTGGATGTCTTCCAACAGGGAAGGCTCATGCTCAAGACTGTTTTTGTCTTAAAAGAATCACTGGATAAACATTGCTTATTTCTAAGCCATTTTATTTTCTTATTTTTTAGAAGATAAATGATTTGSGGTTCTAGGACCAATCAAAGTCTTCAATTTCACCTTAGATGGCTAAATTCAAGAATTCAGAATAGATCTGATACCACGTCCTCTCCATCTTCATAGTTAGGTCATGAAACAGATCATTACTGTATTTAGGATATAGGAATCCAATTTTCACTTAGAGTTGTCCCATTAAAAGTCCTTTCCCTGCCCTAATTTGCAGCCCAATCTTGCAAACCCTGTCTTGCTCAAGCAAGAATATGTGCAATCAGCTCTCATAAACATGGGTTGAAACCACTTAAAATATAACCAATARCATCAAATCAAATTGGGATATTTTTATTATGTACTTACCTTGGGTTTACTTCAAGGTGATAGTTACTTGCAATGGTGCTAATTTCAATTTTCTTTTTGGAAGGTGCCTATGTAGAAAGTAAGCATACAGGATTTCAGAAAGATCAGATCAGATGCAAAAAATCATCTTAAGGATTAAGTCTATCTAATGTCTAYCTAAAGTCTGTCTAATGTGTTGGCAGTTTCACAAAGCAATGATACTTTCCCCTGTGACACCAACACAAGAAATACTAATGCATCATCCAACCACCAGAATAATAATAGGAAATAATATATTAGTCATACATATTCCCTATTGCTCTGCACTCCAGTCATCAATAGTGATTTTTGTAGCAAGTAATTGCATTTTTTGAATCAGTCACTCAAAAAGAGGGATCTTTCTGAAGAAAATGTCTTAGTGGAAAAGTCTGCAGACAAGTTGYCTTCTCCAACAACATGCTTCCCCTTGCAACCCTGAAAAGGTTGTTTACTGCTCTTGGCAAAGGGATATAATTCTGTATTTGGTTAAAGGAAAACAAAAGCAATCGTGCCACCTCTGAGACTGAACAGAGTCTTGGTGGTTAAGCCTTCCACAACACTGATTTGGAACGGAAAATATCCCCTTTTTAATAACAAATTCCACCATGTCTTGATCTTAGCCATTTAGTCAAGCTATTTTTTTTTCTCCTAATGTTGAAATTGGTGCTATGAGAATGAACAAACAAGTCCAAAACTTGCATATATGAGAAAAATATCACTAGTCTTTTTTAAAAATATGGGTTACCTTCACAGACAAATGTTATTAAGAGCTAGCCTATTATGCATTTTGTTGCCCAAAACAGCCAACAGAACTGCACACACTTCAGGAACTACAGCGTCTGGCAAAAGTACTTGTTTAGGTAACCAAACTAATCTGATTGACTATGTATGTGAGCTCATCAAAGAAAGCAAACATGAAAAGCACTGTATTTGTGTGAAAAAAACCCCACAAACTGCTCCACAASAGAAATACATTAGAGCATAAACATCGGAATTGCTTTTAAGGGGTGTGTGTGTTGTGGGGAAGGTCGGCGTTACCGTTATACTCTGATGCTCAATCCTCAGCTTTTCCACACCCGCGCCATACAACTCCCTTAGCAAACACATGATTCGAGTCTTCTTTCCAGCTCCTGACGGTCCGTACACCAGGAGATGAGGGAAATCCCCRCACTGAACCTGAACACAAAGCAACAGGCTGCGTTAGCTGCGACAGCATTGCCCTTATGCACGGGCAGGTATATTATGTACTGAATATATTGTATTTGCCTGTGGCTCAACACTTGCCTTCCCTTCCTCTCCCACCCAGGTTTATATRAAGGCAGCAGCTAAGCCCCTTTACCCCAAACCAAGCACGCAGAACAGCTTCCACAGGGCCGCCACAGACACMCAAGGGGCCACGAGCGGCCTGTATTGAAACCAAACCACGCGGGAAAGCAACGGGCGGGGGGACGAGGCCGCAGCAGCGGCCCGGGAAGCCGCGGCCGGGCGCGTGGCGGCGGGGCGGGCCCCTCACCAGGTTGCGGAGCTGCGCCGCCTGCTCGCGGTGATAGTCGAGGCGCCCGAGGGCGCCGGGCCGGTGCTTGTCCGCCCAGAGGCTCATGGCGGTTGAAAGGCGCGCGCGCCGCCCCGCGCCCGCCCCGCCGCTCCTACGGCGGCCGCCTGCGGACAGGCTTAGGCGACACGCGGATCCAAGCGCCCACCCTGCCCCTCCCGCCCGGGCGCCCCTAACGGTCGCCGCTAACGGTCGCGCCGCCGCGCTGCGCCTGCGCATGCGCGGGCCATTTTCTTCTCCGTTTACTTCATTTTTAAGCGACAGGAGGGCATCGTGAGCCGTATTATTTGGCTCTGTCGGAAGGCGCTGCTTGTAAAAGGCAGTGGCGGCGCGGGCGGCAGCCGAGCAGGCCCGGTGAGGCCCGCAGCACCACCTCCCTCCCATGGCCCAGCCATACTGTCACACTAATGGCATGACAAAACACAGTATTGTGCATAAGCAGCATCATTATTTGAAATTAAAAATAAGATTTCTAAAAGTAGTAATATGTGGGTATACACATGAATAGGCAGAACTGTCAGTCTAATTTTTTACTTATTTTTTTATGAAAAATAGGCAGTTGGATAAAAGATTTATTTAGCTAATCAGATCATGTCAGCTTTTGTCCACATTTATGTATGTACTCAGACATAATGCATGTCTAAGACTACCATAATGCAAGTATTGGCTTCATTAGCCTTGCTGTTCATGTTCCTCTTAAAGGTCACCCAGACCTCGGAGGGGCAGATGGAGAACACATCGAGTAGTAACGTGCTACCTGCTTATCTGAAACAGTTCCTTACTGTCATAGGCGTTTGTGAATGAGTTTGATCTGCAGATGAATTAGCAAATTCACCCTTTTCTGCTTGTTAGCGCTGCCTTGCATGTGATGGAGTTGGCGGCAGCTGCTACAACAGTTACCGAGCACAGCACTTACCTTTGAGTCCCTCTGCTCTACTCTGCCCCACAAAAAGTGACTGCTTTGCTGTTGCTATTTCTACATGTTAAACTTGTAGCTTTATAATGACCCTCGTGTGGCTGCTCTCTCCCCTCAGCGCCAGAACCATCGCTGGATTTCACTAGGAGTGCTCTTCCTTATGTATCCTCTTAGTCTGACCAACCTTTTGCAGGTCCTTTGTTGATTAATCTGGCTAATAAAACATAAGTGAGGTGCTGTTCTTATGTCTGTCAGTGTCATGCTAAACTCAATTGCAGCCTCTGTGATAATAATAAGTCAAGAATGTCATTTGCAAYGTCATTATAAGTCTACATTACTGTTCCAGGCCCAGAGATACTGATGCTGGCTTCTAGGTGGTGATTTGACAGGTTCTCCAGCTTTAGAAAATTCCAATGAAAACAAAGTGTGTGCAGAGTGGAGGTTAATTTAAATAGACAGGTTCCAGTCCAGAAGACTGTTAGATGCTTTCAACTCCCAATGAAACTAAGGAGAAACATGGAGCGTCTCTGAAAGGGCTCTGAGCTCTTTGCAGTAGTACRTGGGTCATCAGTTTCCTTCCTGTTTTCTCCTAACTCAAGGAGAAAATTTTGGCAGTTTTGCCCCAGCTCAGCAAGCCTTTTAAGCAAGCCTTTTAAGGCTTAAGTTTAAGCTTTCAGTTAAGTTGTTATTTGCTGTTATTTGCTGTAAAAAGTAAGCAAACAGATGAACAAATTTAATTTGTTAAATAAAAATCTTAGCATTTTGCAACCTAGGACTACATGAAGTAYTGTAATTCTGATGCTGTTTATCTGATTAAAATGCTGTAGGAAGCTTTGATTTTCTGCCTTATTTATTTCTTTGCTTCAGCATAATTCTAAATGAAAAGAAGCAGATGTCGAAAGTGGAATGGTTTGGCCAAGTGTATTACAAAAACATTAACAGGAATCACGCAGAGGAATACARCAATTTCAGTCACAGTCACAATTCACCCAGATGTGAGGCCTGTTAAAGTGTTTCTTCACTTGTTTTGTTCAGGCCAGCAGAAAGTTCAAAAGATAAAATGGCTTCTCTGCATGAATAAGCCAGAGAATGTATCTGAAAATAAAGATTTTAATTACAAATGGCATTCAGAGGTCTTACTACCAGCAGGCACACTCTTAGAAAGGAGCACAATGTCAGGCACTATGAAAGAAATTCCGATGGAAATAAAATTACAAAATCTAGATCCAGTATTTAAATATTTAATTTTTAAAAAAGTTTTAAACAATTATTGAAACAGTGTTAAAATAAATTAGAACAAAGTACTCTGAGCACCTAAATATCTGCACAGCGTGAGTGCTGTTCACAGTCGAACCAGCCATTAATAGCAAGCCCAAATACCACAGCACCACTTTGCTCTTCAACAAACTTAYATTTTTTGGATAGAAAACTGCTTGGCATCTTTTGATCCTTCAGGCTGCAGAACTGAGCAAGATGGGCTTTGTTTTGAGTTTCAAATATTTTAGTGGATTATTGCCACCCYGCTGGCTGTCACTCTAGGTTATATCATCCCATCCCCATCAGAGTGCCTGTATTGCTGCAAGTAAACTGCAGCATAGCGAGAAATACGGGCTCACTAATTGCAATGCAAAAAAAAACCCCAAAGCACAGTGAAGCAACATCTGTTCTGCTGGTGACATGCTGATGTCACGCCGATTGAATGTGACAGCCAAGAGAACAACAATAATGGTGATAGCCAAATACTAAAACAACAGCAAATATATCCCGTATAGATAAGCCACATGGAAGAAGTTTAAAAGCTGTTAAAGCAAGACATCTTTCTTCTTCAATCATTCTTCACTTTACAAGCCCTTATTGGTCTGGAAAAATAAAGTAACAAAAATAACACCAAAGTCCCCTATGCGAGTGTGAGGCAAACTGGAGAAGTACAAGAAGGCAAAATTTTCACAATCACCAGAAGGAGYGTTCTGGAAAGGGATCCCTCTGGAGAGGGATGGTTTGACTGAAGTGCATGTCCTGCCCACACRTCATCTCTGCAACAGGTTCTGTACATGACTCCACCTGGAAAAGATTAAGCAAAGTTCTTCACTAAAAGTTAGAATCTAGAAAGAAATAGGTATGTTTAAAAAAAAAAAAAGCAGGAAAATCACCCCATTTTCATGCATTCGGGGCAAGTGATAATTCTGTAAAATGTTCTGGTTTAATCAGACATTGGTCCATGCTCCTGTTAATGAGGGTCAGACACTCAGCTTCCCCAGTGTGCCAGAAGAATTAGAAGAAGAAGAGGTGAGACAGACTTTGCTGTTCTTAGCTCTCTGTGGCCTCGCTTGGGTGTAGCTGTGCAAAGTTCAGACCTTTTTTTTTTCTCTGCCAATAGGGATTGTCAAACTACACATTTAAGCAGTATTCGCTGTAGCAGTTATTCACAACAGAGTGAGAGTTTAAATTATTTTAGCATTTCAAACATAAATTAAAACATCTTTTCTGGAACACACAGAGTTATAGATTCGTTCTTCAGACATAATGCAGCTATGTTGAATACATGCTTATTGCTTACTAAAGTTTTTAATAAAAAACAGGCTATTTGCATTCTTGTTTTAGGTCATTCCCCCCAGAGATTTACAAGATCACTAACTAAAAGATATAACTATGCTCTTCTGTTTCCTTCAGCCTGCATTTTGTAATAACAGAAAAACTAGAACAAAGGAAGCTTTGTTCTCTTAGGACTGCAGATTTCAATATAAAGGTATGCTAAAACAGTCTCATTAGATTAAGAAATGTTAAACATTCTGTTTTAATTTTAAATAAAGCACACAAGCTCTGGTATGGAAACTAAGAAGCTCTTTAATTTGGAGAATCACATTCCCTCAGCTACTTAAACCTATGAACAAATACCACTGCTTGACCTGYAATTAGGAATTAGTTTTGTCAAAATATGAACACTGGGCGTTTTTACCTCCTTGTCAGCAGAGATGGATGTGGATGACAAAGCACTTATTATTATTTTGGGAGGTGGGAATCTTTGTTTCCATCCTCACCAGTATTTGAACTAGAAATTTCACTGTTGACTTGAGTGCATTTTCCAATGAAAAATTCATCACAACACATTTTTTTGCAGAAAGTCAGATGAATCATCAGGAAAGAAGTTACATTAAACAATTCCTATCTAGTTCTACCTGTAATAGTCTAAATTATATGGCTCAGATAATAATTGTGCTTTGGATTTCTAATATCTGACAATTTTTTTTTCTTTTTTTCAACCTTTCCTCCAGATGATAAATGGCCCAGCTCCGTTAGGTTCATAGAACATCGACAAATGGAATTCAGATATCTCTGACTGCCTCTGTGTGTGTTCCTGAAGGTGACAATAAAAATGGGACATAAAAATGACATCCCCTTTGCATTCCTATGAAGAATGTTGCTGTAAAATTAAAGACATTTACAAACTAAGTGCTCATAACACTGCTACATAACCATGGTCTTGGAAAGTTACCATAGATTGATACATAGTTTGAAAAACTAATAGTATTTCCATGTCATCCTGCAGCTGAATTACTATTGATGTGAATTCACAGAATCTTCAAGGTTGGAAGGGACCTCTAGAGATCATCTAGTCCAACCTCCCTGCTCAAGCAGGCACACCTAGAGCATGGGGCACAGGGTGGCATCCAGGCGGGTTTTGAAGACCTCCAGAGAAGGAGACTCCACAGCCTCCCTGCGCAGCCTGTTCCACTGCTCTGTCACCCTAACAGTAAAGAAGTTGCTCCTCACCTGGAGACGGAACTTCTTGTGCTCCAGCTTATGGCCATTACCCCTTGTCCTATCGCTGGCCACCAATAGAAACAGCCTGTCCCCTTCCTCCCTGCATTCCCCCTTCCTGAACTTATACATATTAATCATATCCCCTCTCAGCCTTCTCTTCTCCAGAACTGGAATGAGCCACAATCCAAGAGCTCCTTATGCTGAAAGWTGAGATGACATGATTAAGTTCCTGGTCTGTGATATTACAGCTCTATATATAGTGATGAAACTCTGGTTTTATTTTGTTGCTCTTGTCAGAAAAGAAGGACACCTGTGTCACAAGGTCATCAGATTGTCCCTCCTGTTCTTGTCTTAGGTAGGCTCACTTTAAA